GTCGCAGGTGAACAACGTGAGCCTGGAGGACGTGATGCACGAGGACGCGGTGGCCGCGCTCAAGAACACGTACGACGTGGTTTATCTGAGGGTGGCCAAGGCCAGCCCCGGCCTCGGGGACACCTACGGGCCCCCCGACGTCACCGGCTGTGAGCGGGGACGGGGGGAATGGGGGGAAATGGGGGGAAATGGGGGGAAATGGGAGGGGATAAAATGGTGGGAAACGTGAGGGGAGAAAATGGTGGGAAATGTGAGGGGAAAAGGGTGGGAAATGTGAGAGGGAAAATGGAGGGAAATGTGAGGGGGAAAGGGTGGGAAATGTGAGGGGAAATGGTGGGAAATGTGAGGGGAAAATGGAGGGAAATGTGAGGGGAAAAATGGAGGGAAATGTGAGGGGAAAAGGGCGGGAAATGTGAGGGGAAAATGGAGGGAAATGTGAGGGGAAAAATGAAGGGAAATGTGAGGGGAAAAATGAAGGGAAATGTGAGGGGAAATGTGAGAGGAAAATGGTGGGAAACGTGAGGGGGAAAGGGCGGGAAATGTGAGGGGACAAGGGTGGGAAATTTGAGGAAAAATGGAGGTAAATGTGAGGGGACAAAATGGTGGGAAATGTGAGGGGAAAAAGGGTGGGAAATGTGAGGAGAAAAAGGTGGGAAATGTGAGGGAAAATGGCGGGAAACGTGAAGGGAAAAAGGTGGGAAATGTGAGGGAAAATGGAGGGGAACGTGAGGAGAAAAGGGCAGGAAGTGTGGGAGGAAAATGGCGGAAAACACAAGGGGAAGAGAGCGGGAAATGTGAGGGGGAAAATGACGGGAAATGTGAGGGGAGAAAATGACGGAAAATGTGAGGGGAGAAAATGGCGGGAAATGTGAGGGGAAAAGGGTGGGAAACGTGAGGGGAAAAGGGTGAGAAATTTGAAGAAAAATGGTGGGGAATGTGAGGGAAAAGGGTGGGAAATGTGAGGGGAGAAAATGGTGGGAAATGTGAGGGGAAAAGGGTGAGAAATTTGAAGAAAAATGGTGGGGAATGCGAGGGGACAAAATGGTGGGAAACGTGAGGAGAAAAGGGGGGGTCCAAGGGATGTTTGGAGGGGACAGTGAGGGGGTTTGGGGGTACATGGGGAAGGGGGGACATGATGTCCCCCTGTCCCTGCTGTCCCCATGTCCCTCTGTCCCCTGCTGTCCCCTGATGTCCCCTCTGTCCCCAGCCTACTCTGCCCACCTGGACTCCGACCTGGCCCCGCAGAGTTTCCTGGGCCCCGAGTTCCCCCCGGTCCTGACCCCGACGTCCCCCCGGCGCTTCTCGCCCGGCCCCAAGGACCTGCTGCCCGACGACGACGTCCCCAGGTGACGGCCCGATGGCTTCGATGGCCCCAAAAGGGTCCCCAAGGGGGTCCTGCCATGCCTGGAGTGTCCCCGATGTCCTCGAGGGCCCCTGGATGTCCCCAAGGTTCCCAAGGGGGTCCCCAAAGGGGTCCCCAAAGGGGTCCCACCACATCTGAGGGGTCCCCAAGGTCCCATTCTCGGGGGTGTCCCGGGGGTGTCCCCGAGGTCCCCGTGTGTCCCCTGACATCCCCAGGTGTCCCCCGAGGTCCCCAGGTGTCCCCTGACATCCCCAGGTGTCCCCAGGTGTCCCCAATGTCCCCCAAGGTCCCCAGGTGTCCCCTGACATCCCCAGGTGTCCCCT